ATCAGTTTAATAACAGTAATACTGATCAGGATGAAGTGGTGAGTCATGTAACATCCAAGAACAGGGAGAGCTGATGCTGAGGAACATGGATTGAAGAGTCAGTAACTACATTCCTTTCAAAGTTCAACTGATCTTCAGATTAGTTGAATATAATTTGAATAGATAACTTTGGATATTCTTATGCAGCTGCATCAAAGTTTTATACAAAGCAAATCATGAGTCAGTGGTATGATGCACACTGCGTCTTATGACGCAGGACTCTAAAGTGGTTGAAATGTGTTTTGTGAGTTTTCGAATTACGTCATTCTGTCAATCCAAATGACAAATGTTTATTGGCTACCTTCCCGATACGTGTCACTTGCTTTACAGCATTGTGATGTCTACAGTTTGGTCTAGAGAGTATCACAGCTGTGTGGCTGTTTTTGTAGAAGTGTGGTTGGTCCCTGAGTTCCAGGACTTTTTTTCCGTGTAACTGCTCACCAGTGCAAAAAGCAAGATTTGTAGAGACATAGAAGAAAATGTTTTTGTGAAAGTTTCCTGGCCTAGTCAGTCTTTAATTCAACCTGACAGAGCCCTCTAGGTTGAATTAGAGCAGGCCTGGAGAGCCAGGCTGGCTTGTCGGACATTAGTTCCTGGTGTCACAATTGTGCCTCTGGAAGAGTAGTCAAAAATGATCATAAACTTTAAATTACTAAGCCCTATATAGAATATCTTCACAAGATTTAAAGCTATTACATCCGTACAGGACGGGTCAATATCATACAGTGCGAATTTGACGAAAACATTTTCTATGTACTGAAAAAAGTTAGAAACCAGCATCTCGGATCAAAATAATTGCCATGTTTGTTGTATAAAAGCATCTTGGACAAAAATGCGGAATTGGGCCTGGACAGTTTCAAAATGCAAAAGTTTTTCAAAACTAAAAATAACCTTGATATGATATCAGAGAGTACAGTGTTGATTATATGCTGTGTGCATTAATTTGTATATAGAACACCCTACATGTCAGAATCACTGAGTGCCAATGACATATCTACATTAAATAAACAAAACACAATGCAGTTAGGTTTCTAGAGATCCTTGCCTGAACTCTATGATCTGTGATGTTGCAATAATAGTGAACATAATAAGCTACAGTAATGTGTTTATATATCTATTTCTTTTCTGGGTTGTCATCTCAAAAGCTACAATCAAATGAAAGATATTGGCTGTGTGGAGTGGTGGAATAAAAAATGCTTCGCTCTGCTGTAGAACTCACATAGGCGTTACTGTATAAAGGGGATATTTAATGTTGATATTCCTTTTTTTTGTACACCGAATGAAGCAAACCCTCTTAGTCATGACAGAATTATCCAGTGCCTCCAATCATCCTGGCAGGTTGGTCATTTAGCACAGCATGGCAAGAGGAAAATACTAGTTCCAAGGCCAAGCAAATAAGAGAACATACAGCATGCTGGAATACATTTCTATAGCTTTCTTTTTTCCTATCTATATGAAATGTTTTGCAGAAATAAAAGACATTTATTGCATTTTTTTCTAACAGAGGAGCAATCAAGTAATCATCAAGAAGCGGCAACTAAATATATGCATATGCAAGTGTTGCTATAGTCAAACATGTTCCATTAATTACGTGAAGTTACCATAGAATTAGCCTTTACAACAATTCTAACCCAGATTAGACCATACATCAGAGAATGTTAGAGTGCTGATCTCTTTCACTCTCCCACTAATCGCATTGAGCAACTCTAGCTTTCCCGTGCTTGATGTCTGCTTTCTTTTCTCCCTGTTCTGTATCTACTGATCCTTCGGCACGGTCCAGAAGCGAGCTCTTTTTGTGTCAGTGTTGGCAGCCAGACACAAGCAAAGAGATGGATATGGCTGAGAGTGACCTGATTCTGCATCAGTTTCTGGCCTCTGCCCAAATATAGAGGCTCCCTTCTCCTGCCCTCTGTCTTACAATCTATCCATCTCTAACACCTTGGTTCATGCTGTAGAATCCTAAACTATCTGACTTGAAAAAAGATGTGTCCTTATTTGGAAATATGACAAATATATAAAGCAAAATGGATTTAAACTTTGTGACATACCAAGCCTTTCCTAAAACTCCAACGATACAGTAATTGTACATTTTTGAATTATCAAATCATTTGCAGCAAGTGCCAAGACTTCAGGGAGGAAGTGGTGTCATTTTGCATTTTGTCTAGAGGTGTTGGAGACTTCTCAATTACAAATAGTGTTTTACTTGTTTGTTTTACTTGTTTTTTATGTATCTGTTTCCTGATGGCCTGAAGTAAAAATTAGATATCATTAGAATATGATTGGCAATACAGGAGGTGAAGAGTAACCAGCAGAATTTTCACATCTAAGATTTTTCTTCCTTCTAGGCTGACTGAGTTCAGATAATTAATTTCTTAATGATTTTAGGTACTCGATTTCCTAAAAAAAAAGATAATTAATCTTAGAATACATGAGGGAAACCTTGTTATCTCTAGAGGAAGCATTCAATCATTGAAGGCCAAAATACTGCAAAGTACTCCATTTTGCTTCTGATAGATCCCCTTAACCTTTAAACCCAAGAATGATGAACTGTACTCCGTCATGTCCTCAGCTCTAACTGATGTAGACATAAAGAAGGTGTTTTTAGTCCATTGCATAAATGAGGAATTGGACTTAATAGATTAGAACATCTGTACTTGTCGCCGTTAAAACCTGATTTTAATTGACTGACCTTGATTTTCATCCACAAACCATTAATTTAACAGAGGACTACCGTACTTGCAGAAAAAAGCCCATCCTTGATAACAGTGTGTTTAGGAGAAGTTGTTGTTGACCATCATTGATAGTCCATATCCATTTTCTTTTCCTTCTCTACCTCTGTCTTAAACCTTCAACTGTGTGACATTCTCCTGACCCACATTTAGGTTGTCTCTATAAATCATTCATCCCACTCCATATGACCCCATGTTGTAGCCTGAAGCTGGTGCCCTAAACCAGCAATGTTCCATTTGTCTAATGAAAGCAGACCCCCATATTTCCTCCATAGCTGCTCTAAAAGCTCCGAAGGTGATGATGGCCCTTTTTGATAGGTGGTGGAGAGACCATTGACGTGCACGATTTATCGGAAGCCTCCAGAGTGCGCTTCCAGGAAGAAAAATGGAAAAAGAGACATAAACAAAAAGACCTGTCTCCCTTCAAAGGCATTCCATCAGACTTTCTTAAAACCTTTGGGCAACTTTAAATTTAACACAGTGGAGTGTCTAAATCATTTTTCTTATTTAACTCTACCCGCCATATTCCTTTTGTTATGAAACATTTGTTTAGTATACCGTAAGTCTGGGCTTTCTTTGGATCATTTATGGTTTAACCCTGTACGCATGGTGCTGTGAAAAAGTTTTTGCCCCCTCACAGAATTGATCTTTTGTAGTTGGACTAAAATTATTTACATCGTCAAACTGATGGTAAAGCTCAGATGCCTAGATGCAGAACGCTTTTTTCAAATTATTATAACAATAAATTTGAATGTCTGACCCGGTTCATACAGTAACTAGCTGCAAATTACAAACTGGACCTGTGTTCTCCTTCAGAATATTATGGTAGAGATAATTATTTATTGTTCTATAAATGACAGCAATTCATCCAGGTCTAATTCAGCCTCCCAGACAATCTTAATATCCTCTCCGTGTTTCACTCTCTATATGCTTTTCTTTTTCTATAAGGTTAGTTTATAGCTAGAAATAATGTGTTATATACCTTCTAAAATATTTTGTCTTGTCAGTCCACAGAATACTTAACCCAAATTCTAGAATATCGAAATTGTTTTTTTTTATTTTTTATGCCCAGCCATAGTTTGGATCTTGAAATCTTGACCAAGTCTTTATCATATTGTTGAATTAAGAACACTTGGCTGAACTGATGTAAAAGTAGGCTGTATTTCTTTAGTTATTACTCATGATCTGACTTGATGACTTATCAAAATCACTGTGTGTCTTTTGGCCACTCCTGGGTTTGGTACATGAGGTGGTGTGTTTGGCAAATTATCTTGGCATTTCTGAGCTTAAATTTTTTGTCTTTTAGCATCTCAATGATCTTGCCAATAGGCCAAGAAGAGGTATATTACCTTAATATTGATGTAAATTCTCAATTACATTTCTAGAAATTAATTACAAAGATTATAATTTTTATTATTATTTAAAATGTACTTTTAATTGCTTTAGGACTTTCCAGGTTCTAATCATACATTAGACAGCTCTTGAGACTGTTCAGATTGCTTAGATATTGCTTGATGAAAACTATTCTCAATATTTTTTTAATTAAGGGTAAATGTGTTGCCCTAAGTAACAAACTGTACCCCTGCACATGTTTTGTTTGAGGAATAGAATAAAAGTTTCTTGCCATGTTTAAGTTTAACCCATTTTCAATTGGAGCATATTAATTAACCGAGTACTTCTGTAATTTAGGGGCCTTTCACATTCAGCAAGTCGAACCAAAGTCCTTATGGCCAGTCTTTTTACTTAATCGCGACTGCCTTTGAGTCTAGTAATTGCTAAATGCTTTTGTTTTGTTTTTTTATTTCAATTTGAATCACTTACTGTAGGTGAATATCTTGCTGCCCCAGCATTTCATGAGTTTTTGTTGCATTGGGGGGACAATGGGGAATAAAGCTTGACAGAGCAGCTTCTATTAAAGAACCTGAGGCTGACTGCAGTCTTCGTTACCAAAACAGTTTACATTTTTGCTTCATCCCACATAAAGAACTGATGAATAATAATTAAATTAAAATGGTCATAAAGTTTTGCGGGATTATCATATTATTTATATTTCAATGCATGTAACACACCTCCACAATGCACAGTTTGTGATTATTATGGTAAAATTTTATTTTACATTGTAAGTACAAGTTGGAAAATAATATCCATTAAATGCGATAAAATCATTGAGTGATTTTTAGAGATGGATGTACCAAACTTGGGTTGATTTCTCTGTTTTTCCTTTTTTTGCAGCTCTTAACCATCGACGACGACTTTTGTGGCCTTGACATGAATGCACCTCTGGGTGTTTCTGAGATGGTGCGTGGAAAGCCTCTCTTTTCAGACGCCGTTGACAAGATGACTTCTGTGATTGCCTATGTCTACAAGAACCACTCATTGGTCTTCGTTGGTACAAAAAGTGGACGAGTGAAGAAGGTAAAGAGACGAGTTTTGGTTGAGTAAACTGCATTATAGATGGCCTAATCGATTGGAGTAGAGATTTGATTTCGTTCTGTGTGAATGTGTAGTAAGACTGTTGCATTGGGAATACTGAATTGGAGGATGGACAGTAGTAGAAAGGCGGATTGACTTTCAGGCAAATCGACTGAATCAGCTTTTTTCGCAGCACGAAGGTGCGTGTGCTTGAATGAAAGAGGAGGAAAGTGAATGGGAGTGTGAGTTCTCTACCATGGAAGAAATTGTATTTGTGTGTGTTTTGGGGAAAGGGAATCAGGAGCGCCCCTGAGGGGGTTTTATTTCTACTGACAAACCTATCTGATATCTTCCAAAGTCTAGCTCATCCTTGCCACAATATACGTATTTACTCATTTACACCTGCAATCAGGAGGATCCAGTATAGTTTCCCTTTTCTTTGGACTCCAGAGGGGGCGAATTGTTGCACGCATCAGCATGCTGCAGAACTTGCTAGACAGCACAGATCAGCATGTTGCAGAAACAATTAGACCAACTTTGTCTCTTTTGTGAGGCAAATTAAGAAGCCAGAATGAGATGAAATGCATAATTTATTACGATGTAATTTATGTGATTGATAATGGCATACAATGGAATGCATGGAACCATGCAATTTGTTAATTGACTAAATGTTATTTTTGCTACCATAATTTTATTGCATCTTTATAGATTATTCGTTCAAAATCCCTATGCAAAGGTTTTATACCAGCCTAAGTTTCATGTGACCTTTAATCATTATCATTATTGTGTGTGTTTAATTGTAAAGTGGAAAAAAAAACTCCAGTGCAACAAATGGTCTTGAGAAGTTACCCAACAAAATGCATTTGCTTGAGCGTAATTTAATCTCATCATAAAAGCAGCTGTACAACAAAAGCCTCTGAGGCTTGTAATGCGTTGTTGACTGAGAAACACAGAAATCAAGTAATAAAGTAGAGATGTCTCAGATAAAGTGATGGAGATATTAAAAGCTAGGATGGGTTATAACTTCTACGCGATAGCTCAGGTAAGGAGAGTAATTATCAGTAATGTAATCATCAATCACATAAGAGATGTAAAGAACATGCAGAGATCCAAAGCAAAGGTTTACTTATCAGTTAACAGAACAGCTACTAGTTGTTCACTAAAAATAAAACGTTTTATGCAAGAATTGCAGACAGAAGTCTCTAAGCAATCTATATAATATGTTTACATTAGGCATGTAGGAGATGAAGCAAAATGCCAAAAGATGGTGCTCTTGAAGATTAGACCAGATCGAGTTTTTAGCCATCATGCAAAACAGAAAGCTAAAACTGTATGTCAACAGTGAATAAACCGTTCAATTAATGAAACATTTTATAGCAGCATTGCAGACCTAGACAGGGAATCTAGTGAGAATTAATAGAGGGGATAAAAGTTTTTTGTGAAAAATATTCTGTATTTAATCAAATACAAGTCAGACTTTTTTAGGTTGTCTTTTGTAACTCTGGTAAAAAAATAAGGACTACAAGAAACATTTGTAAGGCACCACTGGAAGCCAAAATGTGCAGCAAAGCACTAGTGATAAAAAGATTTAAGTTAGTTTTATCAGGTGCATTTTCTAATACCTTCAACTATAACTGTGTCTCCTTGGGTCTTATGTCACTGTATGATTTCAGAGCCCTTGGCTAAACAGGATTTGTCCCCTTAGAGTTAAGAAGTAGTGGATAAGCTGGGTTTTGGAGTGTTGTTGCTCCCACCTTAGTCCCCCTTCATGCCTCTGTGCCCTTTTGTGTGTGGCAGACCTTTTCACAGCTAATGCGATGATGCACTGCTGCAAAGTATGATGGAACCCTAGGCTCCTATGCATTGCTGTCTTTCAAATGAATGCACACAGATACTCTGATGGGAGTGACTAAAACCAGACTAAATAAAACATCGGCATAACCAGTGAGCTGAGATGAAGAGAATTATTGGGCAGAGTTTACCTTTTTCTTATATTTAATTTTAGTTTCATTAAATATTTCTTAGAGTCACAAACAGGTAATTGAGATGCATGATTTATACTGGGATGTATTCAATCAATAATTTGTTTCATTTTTAAAGTAAACTATTGATTATGATTATCTATACTGTAAAATGGCATAGAATAGCCTAGAAACTTTAGGTATGAGAGTGTAGAAGTGATAACATGAGTGATAAGTAGAAACACAAAGAAACGTTATTATTTCTTAAAGAAACATGTTGATTCTTTACTCCATGTGAATTAAGGAGGGTACCCTCCATATAACTGTTTGCAAGCAACTATTAAAAAAAAAAATTCATACTAAAAATAATGTATATTCAGACAAAGAACCCTTATAGACACTTCCACAAAGGCAATCAATATCATGTGTCAACAAAGGCGTGCACGCAGAGCACCATTACAATCCCATCCTTCCCTCCCTTGTACACACTTCCCCTCCCCTGTCATTAACTGTATACCATTAGATGACATCACAGGCAATAAAAGACAACAACAAGACAATAAAAAGTCTGAGCCCAAGTCCACCTCCTTCATCAGTGACTTTATAACCCCTAGACTAATGGACGTTGATTTATACAGAGTCCTCCACCTTACTTTTCCATCCTTTAGTCTCCGCCCATTTCTTTCTCTTTGACCATCTCTCACACTGCTCGTCTTTCAATCTGCTTTTTCAGTGTTATTTATGGTCTTGTGACAAACACATCAGCCAGAATAAATGTAAGCATTACAGGAAAAGAGAGTGGGTAGACTTTAATGGAGTCTGTCTTTGGACGGTTTAAATGTTGCAGTTTACAGGCTTACGTTTATGACATCATGAACTCGGACTGAGCGGAAAGCCTAGTGAAATAAATTCAATTTGCTTGTAAAATAGTTTAACGTAATTGGGGTTAGTATAACATTTCTAAAGTGCAATGTGAGACTCGTGGAAGTGGAATCAGAAATAGCTCCACTATGTCTGCACTAATTGCATAATGTATAATCAAGCCCTTTTACCTATTCTTAAGGCAAGGCATATTGGCCCTGATCCTAAGCTCATCCTCACATTGAACTTGGGTATTTATCTTTGCATTATGTCCACTGACAATATACATGTTCAGCTGGCTTAAAAAAGTAGCATAAATGTAGTTTTTTTTTTTTTGTAGTGCAGTTACATACTGTACAAGTGGGGGTATAACGATAATTGAAAATCAAATTTATTGCCAACAGTTTTATTGGTTCCATTTTGTGAGTACAGGAAGTGAATAATACACCAACCTCATCATCAGCATGTTAAAAAAACACTTCTTGAGTATTTATTTCTGGCCTTTTAAGCATTCATCCAGGGGTAGGCACCATCAGTCCTGGAGTGCCACGGTCCTGCAGCTTTTGCATGCATTACTTCTTCAACACACCTGAAACAAGTAAATGTAGAATACCCACGCCTCTGCTAAACTTACTGACATGCCAAGGAAGTAATTTGGCATTTCATTTCAGGTGTAGTGGAGCAGAAGTGAATGCAAAAAGCTGCAGGATAGTGGCACTCAAGCACTGACGTTTCCTATCCCTGCATTAGTGTTTTGTTCAATGCGTGACTATTTGTTTTCAGACCATGTTTTCAGCTAACCTTGTCCTGCAAGCTGGATTGTCGCGAGATCTGTTATTTCAGCCTCACAAAAAATCCATTCTGAAAGACTCCTGCTAATACATCCATCTCAGAACCACCAGCAGGTCAGAACAATGACGACAGTAGGAAGGACGACAGTCAGAATGGCCTTGCTGGGTCATAACAAACATGACTGGTGGAGGACACACTTGTCAATAATGCAATTGACTCGGTTTAGGTAAAATAGTGACAATTTCTCGTTTAAAAAAGATCAGCTTACACTGCTACTTGTGAAAACAATCAAGAAGCTGCAGATGAATCACGCTGCTACGATTAGCTGAAAGCATATTATTGAAGGCAGATAGTAGCTCACATGTCCCCAAACAGCCCGAACTAAACGTCCCTCCTTTTCACGGACAGACTGAACGGCAGCCATCCCAGATTGATAACATAAAACTCCATTCTGTTCTACACATATCAGTCTGACTACTGCAAGGTTAATTTTTAGCCAGGTCTTGCATTAACTTCTAATGACATACACACTTTTACTGACATGATAATAAACCTTTTCTATTGCAATGTATATGTCCTAGACCTATACTATGAAGTTAAGAGAGCACAGGACAAAACCAAGGACTCTGGATGTTCTAAATGAGCAGAATGTGGTCTATGTACTGCTCTGCTTTCCCTTTTATTTTATTTTCAGATAATTTAAATTACAATGCCTCTGAGAGCACACCATGTGAGCTTTTTTTGTTGTTTTTTTTGTCGGGTTTGTTTACATTTCTCCAACCTTGTCTCCAACTAGAGTGTTTGATTCATCTCCCTGCCTTCTCCTGTCTATCTGTCAATGGATGAGTGGAGCTGTTGTGTGAAAGCTCTTTGATGGCTACCTCCTGCTTCTGAAAGGGAATGGACTGTATGGCTTCTGTCAGTTTGTGTGTTCCTTGGTCCGTGATAAACATGTGAGGAGATGAAGATGTGATGAGATAAAAGGTTGAGGCTGGGAGGGGTTTAAAGCTGTTTACTGCAGGCCAATATACAGCAGTAGGTCAAATAGAAATACTTGACCTCCTTCAGGCTTTGAGTTTATGATCATTGGATCATTTAACACACTGGGGTGATGTATAACTGTTGATGTAGAGACAAACACATTAGACTAATACATTGCTAATCATTACTTTTTTCTTCAAATATACACAGATTGATGCATTAGTAGCCCTTTATGTCTGTGCAGAAGCTAATGTGCACACTAGTGGACAGCCGGCTAGTTATCTGCATGGGGTTGAGGCTTGAGAGGTAGACTAGGGGACAAGAGAAGGGTGTGGAGGAAAAAAAGTAGAGAAAAGAGAGTAAAAAGATGAGATTGAGAACTACCTGCTGAGGTGCTAATGCATCTTCCCTGTGTCAGTCCCAATGGGGGAGCATTGGCGCTCAATACAA